TCGCAAGTTACTGTGGCACAATTTCAATAGCAAGCTTTGGCCCATTATCCTTCAATTTTTAAATGTGTTATTGTAGTAATAAAACACTGACAAAAATGATTAACTTTTTTAATGGAAAACACTCTCTCTCCATGTTTTCTGCTTTTTGAACCAATCAGGCAGAGTGACCAATCACAAGCTCTCAAGATTTTTCTCCTGGCCCAACAGTGTTTCTTCTGCAGGCTGACTCCCACACTACTTGACATACATCTACTATTGCCTTCTCTTCAGGCAGACACCTTCGTCTCCTCATGGAGCAAACAACCAGCCAGAGAAGCCACAAGTGTGACTGTGTGCCCAGCTTCTCTTGCGGCAGGTTCACGGTGATGAAACTGCATTAAGATTGCTTGGATCATATTCAGACTGGGAGTCTCCCTCGCCACTCAGGCAAGCAGCAGCACCTCTTACATGAAAGCTAAGCTTCCAATCATCTATCTGCAAAATGGATGAGAGAGAGTTACCACCACCACAGTAGCCACACGAGGGTCCATCATCACCACACTATTTCTGTGACCTTCACAACTCTTAGCAATCAGTAAAAGAGCTGGGACTAAAACTTGTGGTCTCTGGGCTTCCAGTTTATTGAAACTGCCCTAGCCTACAGGACAACATGAGGGGGAGTTTCTCCATCTCTCCTTCTCAGTTCCTCCAAAATTTCATCTTCATGAGTCCGCCTGAAGCAGGGGGCCAAAACTGTACTACAGTATTCACAATAAATCAGAGAGTTGGCAGCACTGGCTTAGAGCCTGAAACGTAAGAGGAAAAATAAAGCACCCTTTTTATGGGGGGGCGTTCCAATTTTCAATAGCTTTTGAGTATGTACAATGCCAGCTAATGTGGAGGCAAATCTCTATTATAGTAATTTCTAACACCTGCAGTAAAATGTCTGACAGCAATGTAACAGTGCAATTAAAATATGCTTAAAATACAGAGGGGATGAGAGTCATTACAGCGCTACGCATATTAACTTATGCCTAGTTTCTTCATTGTAAGCATTACTGATGATTAAAAAGGTTTATTTTTAAACTGAAAAATTAATGTCTTACAGAAACAGCCCTGCACTATCATTGGTTCAGCTCCCTTCCCACCCATAGGTAACCAGTATTCGCTGAAATTACATTCGCAAACGTAACATCATAAAATCTCATTTTTTCCCCTCTCATAAGGCACCATTATTTTTATAAAGCTAGAAAATAATCATTTTTCGTTCTGTAAACTGAAAGGTTATTTATTAGGCTTTGTGCGAAAGCATCGATCCCAAGTCAGATGGGAATTATACTGGAGTTCTCAGATTCTCTGGTGAAACCAGATGATGAGAAATGAAGGAACAGATCTTGGATACCAATTGTACTGCTAATCCTACTTCTCTTGCTCTTGCCTATCCATTTCTTGCTGACATCAAGAAAAGCTGTCTAATCTCACACCAACAAGGCTGTTTTAATGGGTATATTTGGCCTTCTTCATAAATTCCCCAAGACAAGCCTCCCACTAGAAACATTTACTTACATACAGAGCATCACTTAACACTCGTTTAAAAAATTATGGGACCTTTATATGGAGCTGGCCTAAAAGAACATTGAAGAGAATTTGTTTCAACTCAGCAGCATGGAGATAACTACCTAGATAACATTGGTTTTCCAGGCCCAAGCGTGAGCTAAGAGCATTACCTATTGTTTGAAGCATGTTCTTTCAGTTAGTACAATTTGTTATACTTTACTGACAACCTTTTGGGGGAGGATCCCAACTTTTTAGTCTTGTTGAATTGTCATGGAAATTCCCAATAATATTGTTAATAAAAACCACCGAGCAGTTGGCATGAAGGAGAAAGAGAGGTGAGTCAAGATGAGGATGGACAAACAATATTTTATGTCCATTATGTGACCAATATGTGCTTTCTATTTCTATACCATGCAGCTGGCAACAGAATGTGCTTTCTTGAACATATAAGGAAACAATTTCAGCAGAAGGTTACTGTCCCCAGTCATCTGAATACATTACTGACCTGTAGGGCAATATCCAGTCTGTGCTGGCAACTACTTTGAGCTCCTTTAACAAGATCCAAACACTCCATCCTTTATTTGCGGCACAGAGGATTAACTTTCTAAACAAAGTTTAGTCTGTCTAGCCTCACTTCAGAGTAGGAAGGAGGGATTCCAGAAATGAATTAAAAAGAAAAAAAGACACAGCTCTCACTCTGGTTGTAGGAAGACATCCAGCAAATCCTCCAAAATAGAGGAAAAGAAAGTCTAGGCCAGGGTACTTTTACCAGAGTATTTTGTCTTACGCTGCTGCCCTGTCAGAATCTGGGAAACAGGAACTAGTTGTTCAACTCTCAAGAGAATCTAATAATCTAAAAGTCCAGATCTTATTGTTATAACTACAGGTCATTGGTGTTTAAAGGAATGAAGAACAGTTAATTGGATGTTATAAATTATGGCTTAAAATAGATAACTCTCATAATACACAAATCTCAAGAAAATGCTTTTCTCTATGCATAACTATAGTCATGTTGTTGCTATAATAAAAGAACAGTCTGATGTGTAGATGAAAAATATTAGACAATTATTTTGAGACTTTTCTTTCCAATGTACTGCTTGAAATTAAAAGGAAAAGGAAGGTTTATTCAAAAGATCACTAATTTAATAATCTTTCCCCTTCAGAGTGTAAATCTCTCAACTGAAAATAAAACAAATTAACAAGTGAACTAAGGATTCCTTTTGAAAAGAAGAAGAATGTTGTGGGGAAAATTATTATTTTGCAACTAATATCTGAATGTCTTAACTTAAAACAAACATCCTATATCAATTCCAAATTAGCAGAGCACAATTTATACTTTTCTTAATTGTTGAGAGGCCGGAAGGGTTAGTAGAGTATTTTCTAGCAGATAAGTAAGAAAAAAAACAAAAAACACAACAGCAGTTACATTTTACAATTACAAAATGCCTTTTTTTAAAGTTGCCTTTCAAGTTTTGCCAGCAATAGGACATCAACACAAAAGAATTGCCTTCCTAGCAAATTTGGAAGAATAAGTAATTACCACATTAGGGAAAATGGGCTCAGAAATCTCCATCAACTGCTAATTGGAACCAAAGCGCCTTTCCATCTGCCAAACCATACAAATGCCCTTGGTGCCAATCTCTATGTATACCAGCAAAGGACAAACAAAAACAAAAACCCATACGCACACAGTGTTATATGAGTTTGAGTCAGGCCATTACTGCAGGAAAGGCAGAAGCAAATCTCCCCTCTAGGAAGGTGGAACAGTTACCTGCCAAAGCAAAGGAGTCTTTCTGCTAATCAGTGTGCCTGAAGACAGAGCCACCATAGGGTTACCTGTGCAGCCACCCATCCTATTAGCTAATCACCGAAAATATGTCTAAGGTGGAACTAGAGCTAGGCAACAATCTATTTCCCTCACTAGAAAGAATAATGAGGCTTGCTGAAACACTGCAACAGCATGAAATGAAGGAATCATTGCCTGTTGGGAAACAGATAGTTACTCTAAACTTACTCCTTCCCCCCTCCCCCCCACCTTCTTCCTCATATGCATGATGGGCCCATCTAATTCAGCACCTGCAAAGAAGTCAGGAATTGGTTAAGTGGCATTTGGGCTCAGTGCTGCCTTTGTCCCTATGTACAAGTGGAAAAAACAAAACAAACGCTGCACTGTGAAGGATAGTTCTGTCAATAGAGCAAAGCCTACTCAGATGCAATTATATCAGCCAAGGACCTTAGTTTGCTCCACGCTTTATGTATATTGTGGGGGCGGGAACAGGGAAGGAGAAGAGACAGCTTTTATGAGCAGGTTGTGTAGAAATATCTGCTTCCACAGCTTCATTCTGGAAAGGGAGATGCATATAAAGAAGCAGAATTTCAGCATGAAGTTACTGATATCACTGTCCCCAGCCATCTAAATACGTTACTGCCCTGTAGGGCAGTTCTCAGTCTGTGCTGGGGTAATAGTCTGAATCTCCCTCCCTTAATAGAGCAGTTGCCATCTTTACTCTTCTCCACAGTTGAAAAACTGCACAGTAACGAAGAGGTAACCGTGACAGCTCTCCTCAGGTCTGCAGCAGAGGAATAAAGCAGCAGATTAGAAGAGAAAGCTTTTCTAGAAGTTTGCCTACCCTGCCTGAGAACACTTACTGCTTCTTCCTCACTACCACTCCAATCATAGCCTGGCCCTACCCACTTCCCAGGAGCATGAGGAAGAGTTACTGCAGCAGCCAAATGTGTTTTGCCCTGTTTCAGAGCATTCCCAAGTGCCACAGAGGACCAAGAACTGAAGATTCTCCTCAGTCCACAATAAGAATATCACTACCCGTAATGTCCCCATCCCTATCGCTAATATGCTGAGGTCATAAATGTGCCCTGGAGTTTTAATAATCTATATTATAGAAATGGCTAACAGCCTGAAATAGATTAGCACAATAGGACTTCAGACACTGTACAAACAAACAAACGAGACCCAAAGACCCTGCAAAGTCAAAGACAAGAGGTAATAGGTAGGTGAAATAAATAAGCAGGGGGAGGAGGTAACAAGACTACAAGAAGATATTTTAGTTTTCCCTGAGGGCACCCCTCCCACATGCACACACTAGTAACTAGTGAATTTCTACTATAATATCCTGTAGGTGGAAGCAGTCATTTACTGGAGACACGAAACAAGTGAGCTGAGGATGACAGGAAGCATGGATTGGCTGTACTCACCCGCATTTTTCCTTTTCCCCATTCCAGCTTCCCAAATTGTGATTATATCTGCTAGTTGAGGAATAGCAAACCTACTTTTCTGGGATGATAAAGGAGGATTTTGGAAAAATTAATCACTGTTACAATATAATATTGATAAGCAGGGTAGAACTTGGATGTTAACAAAAACTGAAAATGATGACAGAATATAAAAGTAGCAGCAGCTTAATTTGTACCCAATATTCAATACCCAAGACAATTTGTTCTCTTACCTGCTTCCCATCTAGTGTTACAAGTCTCTTGACAATGCCTGAATCTAACTTAATGGCTTCTGTGATGTCAGTCAAAACCTGTTCAAAGGAATGAGCAGTCTTTTTATTCAGCAGAATTCTCACAGCTTTCCGTGGCTTCACTCCACTCCGAATAACAGTCACCAGTTTGGGTTTAATGAAATCTTTACTCTCCTTCACTTCACTTTTCATCGATGTCAGAGATGTCAAGGATCGAGCAGACCCAGTCTTAATATTCACAGACCAGTTTGGATTGACATTCTTGGTATAATCAACTTTGCGATATGGTTCATTGGATGCACATACATAACTTTCACCTGAAGGGGGAGGGTGGGGGCAGAGGGAAGAGAGAGAAAGACATTGTGATTTAGGGTTTTATGTTAAACAGATTGTTCAACTATTCCATACATTCTCCAAACTGACAATTTCTTGTCTGAAGCAGTGCTAATTGGGTTTCAAATATAATCTACCTGTCCAATTGACTCCAATGTAAACCAGTGATATGCTAGGTAGAGGGCCTCAAGAGTCCCTTGTTAAAAATTCTGCTAACCCAAACTGAAGGGAGAGTTGGAGAGATTTCTGTCCCTCTTGGAGCTCCCTTTCTACATACTGCTTAATTATCTCTGCAGAATATTACATTCCTGGGGTTCACAAAAAAAAAAAAAAAACACACCGACCCCTCACCCCTCCCAATAGGAGGAACTGGGCTTCCCTATAGACACAAATTGTACGCTGTGATATTCTAGTAATATACTCGACTAATTTTCAGGAGACAAAGTCTAAGAATTTGCAGAAAAAGTGTATGTCAATATTAGTTAACTTGCTTTGTGATGTTGCCTCCCTACCACCTCAGATTATTGGAAACATTTTAAATGTTTAAATAGGAAAACAAATTAATAGATTATCTAGTCCTTCCTCCCTCTCTTGAAGCCCAAACACTCTAGGCTTTGTGGTTAGGGAGGAAAATTTTATAAGAGCCTCTTGTTACAATATTGACAGCATATGGCTTGTAGAATACGTATGCCCTACTCTTTAAGATAATAAATGCAAAGAAAGCCCAGCAGTTTCCAGAATTTCAATCATTTTAAATCATTCATGGGAAAAAACCCACTAAAAGTACGTATATGCCATATATGCGACTCTTATGCAAAGTAACAAAAAAGCAGTGTCATGTGGTTGACAGAATTTTGTTGGATCATTTCACTCACCAGAGAAATGGAAAAACTGCTGGAGGAAGTTATAAAGGAACAGCAACAGAACTCTAGACTGAATGATGATAATTCTCTGGGGTTGTATTAGTATGCTAAATTAACACTGGATACAGAACAGTCAGTTTTCAGTAGATCTATTCAAAGGTTTCAGAATATTCTGCTGTAACCTAGGTTTTAAATTTGCTCCCAATGGGCCTTTTTCTAATTTGAAATGAACATGCAAGCTATAATAAAATGTTTGTAAATATTTAATCTAGTTTTATTAATAAATCATGACTGATAATCATGATACATGTAGAGAATTCAAAAGTGCAGAAAATTAGATACATGATGTTATACTTTACATAAGTGTGTTAGCATATCCATAGTTAACTAATTTCCATTACAAAACCCTCTTCTTTGCTACCCTACAACTTTGACTCCAAAAAAACTGACCTGGCCTGAAAGTTCTATAGTTTACCCTAATAGCAAAAGAAACTATAAATTTCCTTCACAGGTTGCAGAAACAAATTGCCTTTGAGTTACTATGATTTGAAATTTACTTGTCCGTTTTCTTAATCTAGTTGAAGTGACTTTTCCCTTTCTAGTTTACTAGAAAACTAAAACTCCCAGGAAGCTTATTTAACTTGCTATATTTGAAGAAAATAAGTTGTAATTAAATTATTAGTTATTTTTGTTCTGCTTAATTTGGAACCCAGTTCTACTCTTTGATGTCATTGGGAATTGATCCCATTGAGGAACATATCAGACACTATGCACTGGCTTTTTGCAGTTTAGAGTCGTTTTATAGCTGACAGTTTGAAGATCTCTGTTAATACCAAAAGGTGTCCTATACCATATCTCATACTAAAAGGATAAGACAGAGTCAAAGTCTGCCGCGTATCTATGAAATGTATCAGTTGGAAATATTTAATACGTAGGCTTGGATTTCACTAAACACACACACAAATCAATACAAAATATTTCCATCGATAATAATGAAAATTTACAGATAGGCAAAGAAAATTGTTCTTTGAGAACTTAGAATTTAAAAAATATTTATTTTGTATATTTTGATAGGTGATGTTGACAATTTGTGTTTTAATGGTTATAAAGCTTTAACATTTTGAATCTCAACATCTATTGTCATTAAATAATTATTATCTAACCCAGCCCCATTAACCGGCTATAACGAAAGAAGGACAGGAGACTCTTGATATGGATTTAATCAGGCCACAACTTTATTATTAGATGTCTGGGACTACCCAGCAGATAAAAGTCTGCAGTGCAGGCAACACCATGATCATTCAAATAACTACCCGGGGCTTCCACCAACCCCCCCTTCATTTTCCATCCAGGTCCTCCAGCCAACCCATTGCTGGGACCTTACCATGCATTCCTCCTCCCCACCCCATAGGAGGGTTACAGTGGGCTATAAGGAAGGGGGGGTGGTTCCTTGCCATATCATCCATAGGAGCCCCAATACCTACCCACACATGTGCCACGGACTCTGAAATAAGCCCTTCCCCATGAAATCTGATCTTCCCCTTGCTGTGGGGAGCACCCCAGATGGGGGCTCCTAGCTGCAAGTCCCTCCCAGGCTGGGGAGGGACAGGACTTGTCCTTCTCCTGCACGGCCACTCTCCGGGGGAGATCAGACCCACCTCTGAGTACATCCCCCTGCTGAAGGAAGTTCCAGTGCTGGGCCCCAAAGGTTCCTGCAGCTAGAGGAGGTTTTTGGATGTGGGTCCAATCTCCCCCTGCTGCTGAGAGCACCCCAGCTGTGAGTCCCAGCTTCCAGAAAAGGGAGCCCCACAGTCACAACACTCAAATTTCAGATGTAAAAGTCTGAACACGTGAAATTGACCAATTTTAAAACCCTCTGGCCATGAAATTGATCAAAATGGACCATGAATTTGATAGGGCCCTCGCCATTGGTACTTATTCAGACCAGTTATCAGAATATCTTGCAAACATCACCAATGGCCATAGATGGGACAGGCTCTGAGTTCTACAGTGAATTCTTTCCCCAGTGTTTCTTGCAGACATGCTCAGGCCCTAACCGATCACCATATTTGGGGTCGGGAATTTTCCCCCAGGTCAGATTGGCAGATACCATGGGGGTTCTTCATTTTCCTCTGCAGTATGGGACATAGGTCACTTGCTGGTTTGAATTAGAGTAAAAGGTGTATTCTCTGAAACTCGAAGTCTTTAAATCATAATTTGAGGGTTTCAGTAATTGAGCCAGAGGTTATAGATCTAACATTGGAGTGAAGTTCTGTGGTCTGCAATGTGCAGGAAGTCAGGCTAGATGATCACAATGGTCCCTTCTGGCCTTAAATTCTGTGAGTCTACAAGAATCAGGGAGCCAAAATCAGCTCCCTGAAATCCCATGCCTCTCCATCCGCCAAGCACAGTGTGGTTGCAGGAAAGAATCTGGCCCATTCTCTTCATTTTTCTGTGTGATTAGTTCATCATTTGAATACTCGCATGCAGCTTCCACTGATTTTAACTAGAACAATGAGTGCATATCAGAGGGCAGATCCAGACTCTGATATAACAAGAGTTCTGATATGTGGTCATATCAATTTTCTGGCAAGATCAGATCACTGTTTTACTCATCATAAAGAAATTTGTGAACTTATTTAAGAATTATCCTTCTCTTCCAGCAATATTTTCACATTAAGTTTGCAGAAACTAAAAAGATATCACATTTTGTTAAAAAAAACAAAGACACAGCAATAATGAAACTATGAAAGATAGTACAGAGTATGGGAAAAGTCCTTACTCTACTAGATTCAGGGGTACATGCTTATTTTCTGCTAGAATCCTATTGAGCTATAGGGCTGCTCTGTCTCTAAATACTGGATTGCCAAATAGAAACACCCAGTGATTTGAGAGATCTTTCTTAACCCTTGCCAACAGGTTTATTAAAATTATAGATGCGAAACAGCTACAGGAAAACACACTTCTAAATGAGCTGTAAAAACAGATGTTAGCAAATAACTATGGGAGAGTATTTTTTTTTTTTACGTTAAAGAACTACATTTTTTACAGACCAATTTTTTTTCTTGAAGTTGCTTTAAAAAGGAGCAGATTTCTTTGTGAATGCTGAGGAACGGGCAGAGGATAGCGGGACAAAAGAAAATATTTGTATTTTGCGTGAGAGGGAATGTTTTGAATGATTAAAGTAGAACCCAGGAATCCCAATTACCAGTTTTCTACTCTCAGTTCAGCAAAGTGTTTACTATGTGACCTTGGGCAAGTCACTTGGGCCAGCATTTTCAAATTGTAGTCACTCAAATCAATATTTGGGCACTTAAGTGGCTTGTTTTTCAAAAGTGAACTACCTCCAGTTCAGCTTCTGTGGAAGAAGAAAAAATAATCTGCCATTAATTTAGGTGCCTAACTTTAGGCACCCAAGTTTGAAAATATTTTATGAGCCACATTTTGGTTCAGTTCACCTATCTTAATATTCTACCAACTTTTTATATGAAGGAACTTATCGACTCTATAATGTTATTCAGTTAAGGATATCTTGTAACAGTTATAAAAATACTAATATTTCCGAGATCCCAAAATAAGTGATAATGCTGATTTCAATGGTCTGATGTAACCTCTGGATTAGAGTACGTCAGGCAGCTATATAACTCTTGCACTACAGTGCCACAAAGAGAGAAAATTCTTAGAAGTAGCACCATGAGATCTTCACAAATGTACCAAAAGCAGACAGAACTTTAGTGATTACAGTTTCACCCAAAAAGCTTTTATTTTCTAAATCACTTGGAATTTGAGTGACAGATGCTTTGAAGAAAGATATAGGTTTCAATATTAACATGGGTTAAACCAATAGGAAAGGAGGAAGGGCCTTTGGCTACAAAATGCTAATTCAAGTGACATTCACTGCATGTTTGCTTCCTTTCAATAACATTCATGTATCCAATGCTAAAAAATAAACAAAAGTCAGAGTTAAGCCTGATGGCCAAGGCTTAAATTAAAGAGGCTGGAGAAAAGAAAACGAATGTTGGACAGAAACAGGTTCCCCAGCTCAAATACATGCATTAATTTTTATAATGAAATTAAAGGACAACAGAACAGAAAGAGACTTCTTGTTCTTAGAATGCTTA